AGGGCACGATCTTGAGTCACCTGGATCCATTAATAATTGATTGGTTTCCTGCTGTAGCCACATAGACTCCTGTTGTGCCATTACCTGAACCCAGGTGGCCTCCTGCTGGGCTGCCATGGCTTATACCAGAGCTCTTACCACCTCCTCTATTGTGGTACAAAGCAAACAAACAAAACAAAAATCCAAAACCCCAGTTCACTTTTTTTTAACCTCTTTCTTCCGCCACACTATGAATGATGATCCCATGCCTTACACCAGTTGTGACAAAGCTCTGTCCTTGTCTCCATGGGTCCCACATTTCCTGGTGGAATTCACTAGCCTCAGAGGCTCACTGTGACCCTCCATGTAGCCCTTCTCTCTCTAGATGCAAGGGTCACAGCCTACTGAGCCATATTCATCCTAAGCCAGCAAGGGAGGTGAGAAACTGCTCTCACAGTCTCTGTTGTCTCCCAGTCTCAGTCATTAACTGGGGGGCAAAGGGGAGAGCCCAGGCCCTCACCCTACTCCAGACTCCAGCCCAGGAACCCTAATAGTATCAGCTATGGTAGCTGACTTTTTAGAAACGGGACGTGTACAATTCCCTGGGCCATTTCCCCACAGCAGCCCCCACTTCTCAAGATCCACTTCACCCTTACCTCAGGGCTTCCTTCCTTGTGCCTGATATGGTTTGTGCTGCTCAGTCTCTCCAACAGAATGGCTTTCTCCTACAGCTCCTGACACACACACACACCCACCTGACTAACTGGGAGGCTTTTAACTAGTTTCAGCCAGCCCCTGATTGGCTTCAGGTGTCCTAATCAACCTAGTTGTCCTTCCTGCCTTCTGGAAAGATGTTAAGTGGCCCCAGGTATCTTCATTGACCTGGAGTAGCTACCATTTGCTTATCCTGGTAACAGGGATTTGTTTAGCCTATGGCTAATATGTCTCCCATTACTTTACTATAGCCATCTGGCTTTGCCCCATCACACTATGAATATGTGACATTCCCCTCTGGTGTTATCCAGACTGATGATCTGCTAGGTCACTCCAATCCTTGACTCTGGGAGCCAGCCTTACCCTGCTCTGTTGTGAGAACCCCCACTCCTGGGCTGTTCTCACACAGCCTCTGGTATGTAAGCAGCTCCTTGGATTGTGCAACCGAATGACACTAGCCGATATCTCTGGTCCCAGACATAACCCTAGGAACCTCAGTCTTGCAGTGTCCAGTTATGCCTGCTGGACACTGCAAGCTTATATGAGTTCATCAATTTAACAAAGAAATTGATATGTACCAGCCTTGTTATCCTAAAGGGAGTCTCTGACAGGCTTTAAACCAAACGCACTACTTCAGGTAGAATAAACAGATTTATTAACTACAAAGATAGATATTAAGTGATTATATGTCAAAGCATAACAAGTCGGATTTGGTCAAATGAAATAAAAGCAAAACACGTTCTAAGCTGAGTTTAACACTTCCAAAGCCCTTACAACCTTAGATGTTTCTCACCACAGGCTAGCTGATTGCCCTTCACCCAGGCTTTCCCCTTTGATCAGTGCTTCAGTCGCTTGGTGGTAATGAAGACGTCTATGCAGTGTGCAGCAGCAGTCAAAAAAGCAAACGGGATGTTAGGAGTCATTAAAAAAGGGACAGAGAATAAGATGGAGAATATCTTAGTGCCCTTATATAAATCCCTGGTACGCCCACATCTTGAATACTGTGTACAGATGTGGTCCCCTCATCTCAAAAAAGATATACTGGCATTAGAAAAGGTTCAGAAAAGGGCAACTAAAATGATTAGGGGTTTGGAACAGGTTCCATATGAGGAGAGATTAAACAGGCTAGGACTTTTCAGCTTGGAAAAGAGGAGACTAAGGGGGGATGTGATAGAGGTATATAAAATCACAAGTGGTGTGGAGAAAGTGAATAAGGAAAAGTTATTTACTTGTTCCCATAATATGAGAACTAGGGGCTACCAAATGAAATTAATGGGCAGCAGCTTTAAAACAAATAAAAGGAAGTTCTTCCTCACTCAGCGCACAGTCAACCTGTGGAACTCCTTGCCTGAGGAGGTTGTGAAGGCTAGGACTATAACAGGGTTTAAAAGAGAACTGGATAAATTCATGGAGGTTAAGTCCATTAACGATATACATGAAATTACAACTTATAACATTACTATAACAACAATGCTCAGTGCAGCATGAGCCTTCCAAAGACACCCGACATGACAAACTTTGCATTAGATACCACACAATCATATTATAAGGATGAACATGAGGGTGCTGGATGTTCCCCAAGGTACAGAACGTCACAGTATACTGTATACTACCGTGGTAAGTTGACCTAAGTTATGCTACTCCAGTTATGTAAGTTGATGTAGCTTAGGTCGACTTACCGCAGCATCTAAACTGCACTGTGTTGATGGGAGACGCTCTCCCACTAACTTCCCTTATGCTTCTCGGGGATCTGGAGTACCAGAGTCCACCAGAGAGCACGCTCTCCCATCAATTTAGCAGGTCTTCACTAGACCCACTAAATAGACACCTCTTGCATTGATTGAGATTACTGGTTCTGTGGACGAAGGGAAAGCAGTGGATGTATTGTTTCTTGACTTTAGCAAAGCTTTTGACACGGTCTCCCACAGTATTCTTGTCAGCAAGTTAAAGAAGTATGGGCTGGATGAATGCACTATAAGGTGGGTAGAAAGTTGGCTAGATTGTCGGGCTCAACGGGTAGTGATCAATGGCTCCATGTCTAGTTGGCAGCCGGTGTCAAGTGGAGTGCCCCAGGGGTCGGTCCTGGGGCCGGTTTTGTTCAATATCTTCATAAATGATCTGGAGGATGGTGTGGATTGCACTCTCAGCAAATTTGCGGATGATACTAAACTGGGAGGAGTGGTAGATACGCTGGAGGGCAGGGATAGGATACAGAGGGACCTAGACAAATTGGAGGACTGGGCCAAAAGAAATCTGATGAGGTTCAATAAGGATAAGTGCAGGGTCCTGCACTTAGGACGGAAGAACCCAATGCACAGCTACAGACTAGGGACCGAATGGCTGGGCAGCAGTTCTGCGGAAAAGGACCTAGGGGTGACAGTGGACGAGAAGCTGGATATGAGTCAGCAGTGTGCCCTTGTTGCCAAGAAGGCCAATGGCATTTTGGGATGTATAAGTAGGGGCATTGCCAGCAGATCGAGGGACGTGATCGTCCCCCTCTATTCGACATTGGTGAGGCCTCATCTGGAGTACTGTGTCCAGTTTTGGGCCCCACATTACAAGAAGGATGTGGATAAATTGGAAAGAGTCCAGTGAAGGGCAACAAAAATGATTAGGGGTCTGGAACACATGACTTATGAGGAGAGGGTGAGGGAACTGGGATTGTTTAGTCTGCAGAAGAGAAGAATGAGGGGGGATTTGATAGCTGCTTTCAACTACCTGAGAGGTGGTTCCAGAGAGGATGGTTCTAGACTATTCTCAGTGGTAGAAGAGGACAGGACAAGGAGTAATGGTCTCAAGTTGCAGTGGGGGAGGTTTAGGTTGGATATTAGGGAAAACTTTTTCACTAGGAGGGTGGTGAAACACTGGAATGCATTGCCTAGGGAGGTGGTGGAATCTCCTTCCTTAGAAGTTTTTAAGGTCAGGCTTGACAAAGCCTTGGCTGGGATGATTTAATTGGGGATTGGTCTTGCTTTTGAGCAGGGGGTTGGACTAGATGACCTCCTGAGGTCCCTTCCAACCCTGATATTCTATGATTGCAGAAGCCCCCTGATCTACTGGTAAGTGTTGAAGTGGCCTCAGTCTTGCAAACACTCCTAAATGTGCTTAACTTTAACAGCGGAGTAGCTGCAGTGCCCTCCTGGGGATACTCTTTATTGAAGCAGCTGCAAAATGCAGGCTTAGGGGCTTAATGTTTGCCTGCCCAGCTTCAAATTAGATATTATTGCTTCACTTTCTCATCCCCCCACCATCCCCAATAAAATGTTCTTATTACAGATTTCCCTTTAATAATTGTGCTCACCTGGTCCAGTGCTAATAAAATCAGCTCACCCTTCTGCTCCAGAAGGCTTTTTGCAGAAGGAAGGGAGCAACTACTGCCAGCTGAGGGGAAAATGAGGCTGTGCACTTGGGCTGTGGTATCCAGCAGAGTGCATCTGTGTGCAATAAACTGCTTCTGTGTTTTTTCACTGATCTCTATTACTGGTCTAGTAATAAGGGGAGAGACAGAATCCCTCTTAGGAGTAGTATGTTCCGAGGCAGTCTGCTGCTATACTGTGGATTGGTGCTGTTTGGTCTTTCCCTTGGTTCTTCAGGCATGAAGCACTAGACACAGCTCAGGGTTGGGACTGCTGTATTCTCGGCAGGGGCATCAGTCCTAGAGAACTTCCATTTTTCCCCACCTCCTGCCCCCACTACAGGAGCAGAGTGGGGACAAGGTTCCCTGCCACCAGGACCATGCTGCTGCTATCCTCCAAGGCAAGCAGCCTTGCCCCAGATCTCTCTCTCACTCCTCAGTGCTTGGGGTACAGAAACTACTGCTCTACTTTAACACATACACCCAGTACACCAAGAGCAGAGCTAGAAGCAGAGATGCTCACACCTTCCCCCTACATCTAAAATGAGTTCTCCTGGGAACAAGGGAGATGCCTCTTTCCTGTGGGGAGCTGCTCAGATACCACAGCCCCTTGAGCCCAGTAACACCCAGGAGGGAGCTGTGGCCTGTTGTGCCCTTACCCAGCTGTAGGGACCGAGTGGAGACACATGCAATGAGGGGTGACAAAGGAGCGCACCTTGGTCAATAGGACCCAGCTGCTGAAGCACGTGCAGGTGGGTGGCGGGCAAGCCCCGGCCTGGGGCCCCAGCCCACACCCTGCACAAAACGCTCCTCTTGCTTGACGCCGCCATTTACCCGGGCACGCGCAACGGACGCCCTGCCTCGCTGGCCTCCAGCTCAGGCGCTGGCTCGGCCCCATCCACACACCCCGTGTCTCACCTGCAACTCACGCCAGGTAAGTAACCCCCTAGGAGCCCAATCTTCCCCAGCGCACCCCAGCCCGCACCTCCAGGCCGCGCCCGGCCCAGCCCCAGCTCGGGAATCCCCGCACAGTGCAGCGCGCCGGGCCAGAGCGCAGGGCGGAACTTGCGGGAAAGGAGCGCGGTGGCGGAAGGAGTTTGGGGCCGGACCGCCCCGCCCGAGAGCGACAGGTGAGGAGCAGAGCCGGCCTCGGGGTGTCTGTGTGCAGGGCTGGGGGCAGGGACGCCCGTCTCTGTCTGCAGAGCTGAGGGGGCTGTCCCGGTGCCGAGCTCCGTCCCCCGCTCCCCGGGTGTGTGTGTGTATGTCTGTCTGTAGAGCTGAGGGGGCTGTCCCGGTGCCGAGCTCCGTCCCCCCCCCCACCCCCCCGTGTGTCTGTGTCTGTCTAGAGCTGAGGGGGCTGTCCCGGTACCAAGCGCCCTCCCCGGGGGTGTGTGTGTGTGTGTGTCTGTCTGTAGAGCTGAGGGGGGCTGTCTCGGTGCCGAGTTCTCCTCCCACGCCCCCTGGGGTGTGTGTGTGTCTGTCTGTCTGTCTGTCTGCAGAGCTGAGGGGGCTGTCGGTGCTGAGACACCCCCCTCCCCGGGGGGGCGTACCTATCTACAGAACTCGGGGGGCTGTCCCGGTGCTGAGCCCTACCCTGGAGTGTCTGTCTACAGAGCTGAGGGAGCTTTCCCAGTGCCGAGCCGCCCCTTCCCCCCCCACGGGGTGTATGTGGAGTTGGGGAGAGGGGCTGTCCTGGTGCTCATGGGGTTGAGGCTGGCAGGGAGTAGGTTATAGCTTTGACAGCCATCACCAACCTGACAGTGTTACTGGTTCATCTCTTGCATCATTAAACAGACCAAGGGGTCTCTGTACCCAGTTGTGCCAACTGGGCTGTGGGCTGTTGACCCTTTACTGTGTAGCACTTTGCACACTTGAGCAATACTCAATTGTAGCCCATTGCAGTGGGGGGGGGTTGTGTGCTTTCAGTAAGGATTCCTTGGCTGTGGAACTCTAGTCTCTTCCCCCTGCTCCACAGAGCCCTGATTTTTTTTATCAGAACAAAATGTATCTACAACCTGGATTTACCCTGAGTAGGTTGAATGGGGCATGAATATTTGGGGAGGAGAAGTAGGGTACTGAATTTGTGGAGGGCTGGGTGGTTGTTTTGTGGATATGGTTCCAGTGGGATCTGTTAATAAAGAAACATACAAGCTCTCAGAGTTTGGTAGGAGACATTATTGCACTAGACATAATTCAATCATGATGATGGGTTGGGTCAACAGCCACTGGCAGCATCTTTTATTCTGTTGGGCTTTGACCCTCAGTTGTGAGCATAGGGTTGCCAGGTGACCAGTTTTCGACCGGAACGTCCAGTCTAAAAGGGACACTGGCAGCTCCAGCTGCTAAAAGTCTGGTTGGCCATATTAGGTGTGCAGCCGATCATTAAAAGACAAAAACAGTCACTTTGCATTCTGTGCAAACCAGTCAACTGACACTGCCGCCTCCCCTAATGACATCAGTGATTGGTTGCTGAAGAAGCTGGAGTCTGTCAGAGATGGAGTGCCAATTGAAAGTAGCCACCTTAGTTTTGATCCCATTCTTTCCTCCCGCCCTTAGAAATTCCCCACAATAGGGAGCTTTCTGAAACAAGCAACTAGGTAGAATGGTTTTACTCCTTTCCCACTCCTGAAATGTTACTTTTGAAGTATGCCAAGGGCTGCTTCCATCACTGCTTTCTGCTGCCTCTGGATTTCTTCATTCCTCTTTATGATATAAAGGAAGCAAAAGCTCACTTACTGTCTTGTGCTTCTAGGTAACAGGAGCGATGTAGGAGGATTCCAGAGCTGAACATCAGCAAGGCCAACTTTCCTAATGGAAGAGGTAAAAATTCAGTGTGCTCTTCTCTGTCTTCTGCACTCAAGTTAATTGATACAATTAAAACTGCCATCTGCCCTGATCTTTCAAGGCATCTTCCTGCTGCCCTGTGGAGAGGTTGCCATGCGTTGTTTCCCTTCCTTAAAGCTCCCCCCAATTCTCCACATATCAACAGGCTGACCATATGTCCATCTGTTAATACTTGTAATGGCTCTTTTTAAGCTTTCATATTTTTGTAATGATAAATGCAATGGAACATACTGTTCAGAGTACAGCACTTTGCTAACAGTATTACATTCAGGTAGAAAAGTTTGTATTGATCCCCAACTTCATGCGATTGCAAAATGAAACCCTAATTTAAAACATTTCAGAAAATTAAAAAGGGACCAATATAATTTCTAACTTGTCTTTAAACTTGTCATCTTTAAACATACACAAACTATTTTAATTTTAATTTTACCTATGGTATATTCTTGAGGAATATGAGAAGTTTTGGCAGACAATCAGTCCTAAGGTCTACCACTTTTATAGTAATAATGAAAAAGAATCCAGGCCAAAGTTTTTAAAACTGACTAGTGAATTTGGGAGTCCAACTTGAGACACCTTAAAGAAGCCTGATTTTCTGAAAATGATGAGCACCTGCCCTCTTGAATTCAGGCCCCGTTGAAGTATTAGTATTATTAGTCAGTTTTGAAAATCTTGGCCTTAATCTTTTGGGTTTAGTGAGTCCTCTGTTTGTTCAATGTAATTTAATTATGTATGTTCAAATGTATTTAAATTATCTGTTTGATTTTGTTTGACATACTTTGCTCTTTACATTGTAACATAGATACAAGTTATTTAATGCAACCAAGAGAGATTGGGTGGGGATGGGGTATAAGTTATACAAGGGAAATAGGTTTCAGAGTAGCAGCCATGTTAGTCTGTATCCGCAAAAAGAAAAGGAGGACTTGTGGCACCTTAGAGCCTAACAAATTTATTTCAGCATAAGCTTTCGTGAGCTACAGTTCACTTCATCGCAGTTAGTTTGTTAGTCTCTAAGGTGCCACAAGTCCTTCTTTTTACAAGGGAGATAATTTCTTGACCAAGAGATCTGTTAGACTGGAGACTGTTTTGCAAAGAGGATTGGTGGGAACCCATCACTTAGGACCTTTATATTAAACAGGGCATCAAACTAGAAAAATCCTATAGGGAAAATCCTGATGGCATAGAAATGGACAGGATGACAGACAGTGAATACATCTTTTCTGTCACTAATTTCTATGATACAGGGGCCTCATTCAATAGGCTTTTAACAATTTAACCATAAAACCACCACCACCATCACTCTGAGCCTGGATTAATACTGGGCCCATTGTACTTTTATTCTTCATTGCTTTGCAGCCTATGCAACATTCATAGAATTTAAGGACAGAAGGGACCATTGTGATCATCTTATCGTAGCTCAGGACAGGGAATTTTTTTGGTGTCAGATGCAAGGGTGTGGGGTTGGTTTATGTACACGTCCGTACATTAAAAATAAACATTGTCCCATCTGTGCGCTTCCCAATATCCCAGGCTCCCCAAGGGACATTCCAAGATGAGCTGGAGTGGTGTATTTTGCAGCTGGAAACAGGCCTCCTTCATCTCAACCCAACCCCAAAACAAGGTATGCTGCCTCCCCCAAGATTTCTGGCTAAAATCAAAATCTATGCTGGTTCAGTTCACCCAGAAGCCTTTCTAATTTCTCTGGCTGTTGAATTATAATTGGAATTCATTCTAAACGTGAAATGTAATTAAACATTTTGGCTTTATTTTACATCTGTTCTACTTTGAACTCCATCTGCCTATCCGCCCTTACTCTTGTAACCTGGACTGTCTCCTTCCTTATGCATTGTTTCTTCTCTCCTCATTTTCCTTTTAGCCCCTTTGCCTCATTCCTCCCTTCCCCTTAGTTGTACCCTTCCACTTACATATTCTTCAGCTACTTCAGGCTTCCTACACTGCTTTGCAGCTCAGACAGTGGTTTTATCCCCCTCGGTGCCTTGATCTATCACATTCTGTATCTGTTACTTATCTGTGGTATAATCCCACAATCTCAAGTGACTGCTGCTGCATAGTATCAATAGAGATACCCCTTAAATGCTTGTAGCTTTATTTTTTTTAAGCATTGTCCCTGGAAAAAGATGAAATCACTTAAAAGAGAAACATTGAAATACTGGCTTCAGGTGTATTCTGGAACGTTTCAAGATTTCATACCTGTTGATCCACCAAGCCCAGTATCATGCCTCTCTCAGTGACCACTGCTTAGTGGTTCAAAGGAAAGTGAAACTTCCCTTGTAAGGCATTTGGCTGTCTTTGCTGTGGTGCACATAAGGATACAAAATTCTTTCCTGAACGCTGCAGCCATTGGTTTATGCAGAAGCATGAGATTTGATCATTTATATATTAAAGCATTGCTTCATATGCTATTGGTCATACAAGTCTAGTATCCTGTAATCCAGCGGTTCTCAAACTGTGGTTTGGGACCCCAAAGTGGGTCACAACCCCATTTGAACGGGGTTGCCAGGGCTGGCTTAGACTTGCTGGGGCCCAGAGCTTCAGCCCTGGGCAGCAGGACTCAGGTTGCAGGCACCCAGCCTGGGGCTGAAGCCCTTGAGCTTCAGCTTTGGCCCCCCACCCGGGGCAGTGGGGCTTGGGCAGGCTCAGGCTTTGGTTCCCCTCCTGAGATTGTGAAGTAATTTTTGTTGTCAGAAGAGGGGTGCCATGCAGTGAAGTTTGAGAACGCCTGCTGTAGTCGATGCCCACATACTATGGGGACAGGTACAATAGAAAGGTATATGCAATAAGCACATAAGAGTGCTCGCTGGAAAAGTATTACATGGTATTGCATCCATTTGTAAAAATCCTGAAAATAGCTATCTCTGAACCACTGATAAGGGACTAATTCTGTATGTGGTATAAATACCCAGTGTCCTAACCAGTAGCCATTCCAGTCCTCATGCAGTCAAAGAATAGCGATTAGGACACGTCTGTAAGTACTGCCGCTTTGAGACTTTTCTTCTATCTGAGTACCTGGCCGAGGGAAAAATCGCCATCATTTCCCTCCCTGACTATGATTCGTAGGACTCACTGTGATCCCGTTTCTTGTCTTTGTGTCGGTTGGTTTCTTGAGTGCAGCAGAGGAGACACGGCACGTCCTCAAAATCCTGCGCTCCCGCAAGGCTGCCTTTGTGAAGAAGCGGCAGGTGATGAACCACGTGTTTGGGGATTACCGACTGAAGATGGCTGAGGAGCAGAAGAGGACGGAGAAAGCAGGTGAGGCTGGGGCCATCCTTAAAGTCTACAGAACCATTTGGTTCCCTCTGATGTGGTGTCCAGGTGTTAGCAAATGGCCTTTCTTGAGGCTTCTCGTCCAGTCATTCCCATGAGGAATAAACCTCCTTTCCCCCGTCCTGTTCTTTCTGGAGCCAGCCAGATGCCATTAAAGTGGAAGGGCCTTTAAACACATGTAATCCCAGGACTGAAGGGGGTTTTGAGGATGAAGTAAAGGCTGTATCTGTTTGAACTTCATGGCATCACCATGGTGTGGGGTCCAGTGTTAAGGAGAAGTTCATAGTTTTGGAAGCCCTATTAGTGACAGCTAGAGTAAGGCCTAACATGGCACTGAGCAGGATGAAAATAGCAGAAGATGGGACTCCTCCAAGAATCCATTGTGGATCTGTGTGTGAGATTGGTGAGGGTGGTGGTGCACAAGGCCTGAATAAATAGGACCGAGTCCCCCATTCCCGCTGCATGTCAGGTAGTCCCGTATGGAAATGGAGAAACAGCTAGTTCTGCTGCACTGGGTATTGTGATACAGCATGGCCAGAGGGAGCAGGAGAGTGTGGTTTTCTTTGTTTTTTTTTTTTTTGAAGCAGAAAAGAATTTTATTTGTGTAACACTTACAAGGAATCACCAAAAAGGATAAGGCAAAACTATGCAACAAAACAAAAGCAAGCACAAGGTATAACACAGCAACCTTCAGGAGGGAGAAGTGTTCAGGCTAGCCTGGGCCTAGAGCGGGGGGGCTTCCTCGACACTCATGGTCTTCCACCCCCTCGAGTTACCTAATGCCACGCCCAGTGTCACCAATTATTCCTCTCCTGAGAGTGCTCGACAAGATGGGCACGGTTGCGGGGTGGGCGGTTTGGGGGTGAGGGGGACGTACACTACGTGTGATAGGACCCCTCGTAGGTGACAGTGATGATGTTATCCACAGCGGCAACGGCTGGGGCTGGGGTCTCTCGCTCTTCTCCTCGATCAAAGGGTCAGACGGAGGGAACTGGACGGGGTCACCGAGCAGAGAACCTTGGACAGCGCCCACCGCTCCTTGAAGGTGTCAAAGGAGTCGGTGGACGCCGCCCAGAGGAACTCCGCCCGGATACGTGAATGTACCGAGGATCGGAAAACGGCCCTACAATTGCAGGACGCTTCATTAGCCAACCTCCCCTCTCTGGTTTTATAAATGGCTGTTTTAGCTAGGGCTAGGAGGAGGTTAACCAGGAGATCTCGCGATTTTGTGGGGCCATGGATGGGGAGTGTGTAGATAAAAAGATGAGGGGAAAAGTGTAGCCAAAAGCGTAATAAAATATTCGTGAGGAGCCGGAAAAGGGGCTGCAGCCTGGCACACTCTAAATATACGTGCACCAGGATTTCCCTCACGTTGCTAAAAGGGCAAGTATCCGGGATGGGGGTGAACCGTGTCAAAAATACGCCCGTGCTCACAGCTCCGTGAAGGAGCCGCCAACTAATGTCCCTGACGGGCCTCGGGACCAAGGTGGAATACAGGCTGGCCCACAGGGGTTGCTCACCCTCCAAAGGTGGCAGGAGGTCCCGCCACTTTGTATCGGGGCGGGACACCAGGGTGTGGGCATGAAGGGTGTGAAGCATGAGTGTGTATAGATATTTCCGTCACGCGATTTGGAAGCTGACCGGCTGCAGTTCATGCAGCCGGCTTGCAGTGAAAGGGTGAGGGGTTTGTTGGGATCTACGGGGTAGAGGCCCAATTGAAAGGTCCGGTGGGCCTGGGGTAGAGGGTGGGCGGGGTGTGCCCTCGTGCAGGGCTCAGTTGAGATAAGCCCGAGCAGCGGGCGCAAAGGCGGCCTTCACCTCCTGAAGTACACGCTGGGGGGTACGAGGTCTGGAGAGCCCCATATGCTGAGCGAGCGTCATGGGATCCAGCCAGTCTCCCCGGTCGTAGTCCAGGAGGTCTCCGACTCTCGTGACTTCCGCCAGGACCAAACTCTGGCGCACCGAGCGGGACTCCGCCGCCTGCACACGGAGCTGGGGGTTGTGTAGCAGGGGCTCCGTGAGGAGATCTGCTCCCACGGTGGCTGCCACGGACCTGGCCGTTGAAAACAGTTTCCAGGTCCGGAGGAGGTCCTGGTAGAAAACGGGCAGCCCAGAGAGGTCTCGCGGAAAACCTCTCTGACAAAGATAAAAGAGCTGCCGGTCGTATCGGAGCTCTTGGAAACAATGCAGGAAGGCGTGCGCCAATATGCTCCACGTCGAACTACCTGCACTATAAAGGAGCCTCTGCAGGACCTGGAGGCAGAAGACATGGACCTGAGTGTGCAGACACTTCAGGCCCTGCCCTCCTTTCTTCAGGGGTAGATGGACGTGCACAAGTCCATGGGGCCGGATGAGTTGCATCCGAGAGTGCTAAAGGAACTGGCGGCTGTGATTGCAGAGCCATTGGCCATTATCTTTGAAAACTCGTGGCGAACGGGGGAAGTCCCGGATGACTGGAAAAAGGCTAATGTAGTGCCAATCTTTAAAAAAGGGAAGAAGGAGGATCCTGGGAACTACAGGCCAGTAAGCCTCACTTCAGTCCCCAGAAAAATCACGGAGCAGGTCCTCAAAGAATCAATCCTGAAGCACTTACATGAGAGGAAAGTGATCAGGAACAGTCAGCATGGATTCACCAAGGGAAGGTCATGCCTGACTAATCTAATCGCCTTCTATGATGAGATTACTGGTTCTGTGGATGAAGGGAAAGCAGTGGATGTGTTGTATCTTGACTTTAGCAAAGCTTTTGACACGGTCTCCCACAGTATCCTTGTCAGCAAGTTAAGGAAGTATGGGCTGGATGAATGCAGCATAAGGTGGGTAGAAAGTTGGCTAGATTGTCGGGCTCAACGGGTAGTGATCAATGGCTCCATGTCTAGTTGGCAGCCGGTGTCAAGTGGAGTGCCCCAGGGGTCGGTCCTGGGGCCGGTTTTGTTCAATATCTTCATAAATGATCTGGAGGATGGTGTGGATTGCACTCTCAGCAAATTTGCGGATGATACTAAACTGGGAGGAGTGGTAGATATGCTGGAAGGCAGGGATAGGATACAGAGGGACCTAGACAAATTGGACGATTGGGCCGAAAGAAATCTGATGAGGTTCAGTAAGGATAAGTGCAGGGTCCTGCACTTAGGACGGAAGAACCCAATGCACAGCTACAGACTAGGGACCGAATGGCTAGGCAGCAGTTCTGCGGAAAAGGACCTAGGGGTGACAGTGGACGAGAAGCTGGATATGAGCCAGCAGTGTGCCCTTGTTGCCAAGAAGGCCAATGGCATTTTGGGATGTATAAGTAGGGGCATAGCGAGCAGATCGAGGGATGTGATCGTCCCCCTCTATTCGACATTGTTGAGGCCTCATCTGGAGTACTGTGTCCAGTTTTGGGCCCCACACTACAAGAAGGATGTGGATAAATTGGAGAGAGTCCAGCGAAGGGCAACAAAAATGATTAGGGGTCTGGAACACATGAGTTATGAGGAGAGGGTGAGGGAACTGGGATTGTTTAGTCTGCAGAAGAGAAGAATGAGGGGGGGATTTGATAGCTGCTTTCAACTACCTGAGAGGTAGTTCCAGAGAGGATGGTTCTAGACTATTCTCAGTGGTGGAAGAGGACAAGACAAGGAGTAATGGTCTCAAGTTGCAGTGGGGGAGGTTCAGGTTGGATATTAGGAAAAACTTTTTCACTAGGAGGGTGGTGAAACACTGGAATGCGTTGCCTAGGGAGGTGGTGGAATCTCCTTCCTTAGAAGTTTTTAAGGTCAGGCTTGACAAAGCCCTGGCTGGGATGATTTAATTGGGTATGGGTCCTGCTTTTGAGCAGGGGGTTGGACTAGATGACCTCCTGAGGTCCCTTCCAACCCTGATATTCTATGAAGAGCCCCAACAGGGGCCCAGTGCATTCCTGACCAAAAGAACTCTAGAATCGATGTCTGGAGGTCGGTCAGGAAACCCGGGGCCGGGACCAGGATGTTGAGCCTGTACCAGAGCGTGGACAGGACTAGTTGGTTAAGCACCAGCGCTCTGCCTCGGAGGGAGAGACATCGGAGTAGCCCCGTCCATTTCCGGAGCCGCTCTATCACCCCGCCTTCTAAATTTTGCCAGTGCTCCAGTGGAGAATGGTGCATGGCAGAAAGGTAAACACCTAGGTAGAGCAGTGGGCCCACGCTCCACCGGATGGTCTGAAGCGCGGGTGGGAGGGAGCTCACCTGCCGCTAGTCCCCCACCGCCAAGCCAGAGCTCTTGACCCAGTTGGCTCGGGCAGAGGAGGCTGCCGAATAGATGGCCTGGCAAGCCTCCACCTGCGCCAAGTCCCCCGGGTCCTGGACCAGGAGGAGCACGTCATCGGCGTACGCCGACAGGACCAGCCGCAGCTCCGTCTCCCACAGCACCAACCCCGTCAACCTCCTGCGGAGGAGACAGAGGAAGGGCTCGATCGCCAGAGCATATAGCCGGCCCAAGAGGGGGCACCCCTGCCGTACTCCTTGGCCGAAGCTGACCGGTTCAGTCAGGGTCCAGTTGAGCGTAACCAGACACTCCGCGGAAGCGTACAGCACCTGGAGAAAACTCACAAACTGAGGTCCGAATCCAAACGCCTGCAGAGTGCCCAGGAGGTACCCATGGTCCACTCTATCGAACGCCCTCTGCTGATCAAGAGACAGGAGGGCAAACGACAGACCATCTCTACGCCGAGTTCCAAAAGATCTCGGACTAGAAATAGGTTGTCAAAAATGCTGCGACCCGGGACAGCATAGGTCTGATCTGGGTGGATCACGTCCGCCATCACAGACCCTAGCCGCAGCGAGATTGCTTTCGCTACGATTTTGTAATCCATGGTAAGGAGCGAGATGGGACGCCAATTTCGTAAATTGCAGAGGTCCCCCTTCTTTGGCAACAAGGCGAGCACAGCTCACCTGCACGAAAGAGGGAGGACCCCGCCCTTGAAAGACTCAGCCCAGGCAGTGGCTAGGTCTGGGCCAAGAATGTCCCAG